TTTGTCCAGGAGCTCCTGGCTGGACATCAGTGGGGGAGCGCGGCAGTCACCTGCCAATCAACCTCTGGAACGTGCACCCCGTTTCCTCCCTCCCGGAGCCCCTTCCCAGCGGCTTCAGCCCCTGGAGCACTTTTCAAGTGTCTCCCACCGTTTCCCTCCCTCCCACCCACCGCGACCGGAGCCAGACGGGTGGGCGGGAGTGGAGGGCTGCGAGCCGCGGTACCGGCCTTCCCTCGCCCACCTCTGGGGACCGGGGACCCCGTAGCTGGTGGGAAGAAGAGGCAGGGAGGCCACAGTTTGCTTCCTAGGGTGAAGAAGGTGAGGTGGGGCACGGCGAGGGAGGAAAACGGATGCGAGCAAAGACCACCGCTCCTTCTGCAAAGCCCCTTCCTCCAGGGCAGGGAGGAGGGGCTGCCCGGTGCCCCCGATCCCTACAGCAGCTTCTTTCCCACACGGAACTCCCAGGCCCTCGCCCCCTATTATACTATGTGAAATAGCTGCTTAGGAAGAGGGGGCTAGAGGAAGCAGTCGCCCAGCTGAGGGCGGAAGAGAGTGTGTGCCAGGCTGTGTGCTGACCAGGAGTCCCAGGCACGGCTGCCGCCACCGAGTAGGTGCCCCTAGAGGGAGGCCGGGAACTACTCTGTGTGTGGCAAAGACGCACACACCTGCTGCAGAGCCGGTGCTGCTCCAGCCGCCCTGCCCTGCTGTGTAGCCTGCTGTGTAGCCCGCTGTGAGCCCGGCGGCCGGGTGGGGTCCTGAGCACGCCATTTCTTTCCTGCAGGAGGGGCTCTGGGAAGACAGGGGTGGGGGAGGTAGGTGCTGGTTACAGGAAGAGCTATGTCGTCTAAGAAGAACTCTCCAGACTGGACAGGGGATTCAGAGTCAGCGAGGGTGGACGTGGGTCAGGCCCTAGGCCCTTTGCTAAGCCCTCTCTCTCCCGCCCCAGTAATGAGTTCCCAGGGGGCATGGCTCGGCTCTGGGGGGTGGCCTTTCCCACCTCCCTAAGCGGCAGGCAGCTTCTCTCTGGGGTGGGAGGGGTGAGTAGGGAAGCTGGAAGATGCTCGGGGCCCACTGTGATCCCCCAGCCCTTCCAAGCAGCCCTGGGGAAGTGGCCTCTCATTCTGAAGGGGCTATTATAAAACCTGACCTTTTCTCCCACTGCTGATTTGAAA